CCAGAAAGGCAGTCATAGGGAACTTCTCGGGAGTTACTGTACTCAGTTGGGGTTGTTCCAATTCTAACTTTTGCATTTTTCCATAAATATACCAAAATCCTCCTTCCCTTGTATGGCTTTGATAATTAACTCGGTCATTCTATCATTTGCATCCCTTCTCTTAATGGGTACTGTGATTTCCCCTGAATTATTCATCGTCGTCTCATTATTGCTCATGGTGGCAATAATGGTTTCATTTTTACATGGTCGGGGATAAAACATAAACATACTCCAGAATATCATAGTGGCAACAACAAAACAATTTGTGAGCGGATTCCGGCAACCAATTCCTACAGTCTGACTTCTTTGAAGTCGGGGCATCTGTTGCTGGACTTTGTCCTCAACGTCAGCCGGCAGGAGTGGTCCCATCAGGTTTGGATTTTATTATTTACAATCCTTGGATCACACAGGCAGGCATGTGGACTTAGTTAATATATCACTTAATGGCTACTTGTTGGAAGACAAGCCTTTAAGACTTCAGACACTACTCCTGATAGCTGGGTACCATCTAGTTTTTTCACCACATTTTTGCTATAGCACCCATTATCTTCAGTGATCCCTTCATGAGGGTGAGCAGTAAGCAGGCTATGTCGTAGAACTAACTGTTCTTAGATTGGGGCTAGAATTAAGTATAGCACTCCTTTAGATTCACCACATTGGAGCTAAGCTGTTCATTCTGTCAGTGAACCATGCTTCGATCAGTAGTAACATCTGTTGTCCAGGCCTTCTGTGGGTCACAGGTTTGGGTGAACCTGCAGAGGACTAAATCTCTCTACCTACTATCTTTTTGTATTATTAAGGCCTCTGCATCCAGACTCCATCTTCAAGTAAATATGCCATTGCTGTGTCATAGGAAAGCATTTACACTCACCTGCTTCATGGGATTTTGGTTCAGAAAAGGTCCTTTGCAGGATGCGGAGTCAACTTTTTCTTTGGTTTGATGATATCTATTCATTCTGATTCAATAACACCAATGCAGTTACATCTCAATGTCAGAGTAAAGGAGTTTCATTGTCAAAGGCTACAGTCAATTGTAAGATTGATTAGAAACACCTGCCTTGTCCTATTTTTTGATCACTGGACAAAGGCTAAGCTTATTTCACACTTACACAGACTGCTTCCAGGGCCTCTATTGAAATGCAGCTGGAGTTTTGCTGACATGATTCAAAACTAGCAAATCCTCAATTTGAAATGTCTTGAATCCAGTACTAAAGAAACCAATTAAATGTAGAGCATCCTTTTTTCGTCATTG